TAACTACAGTGTATGTTGTGATGCATAAGTTGCACATGCAATTATAGTAAAAAGAATTCAAAATTCTGTGCAATAGAGCGCTTAACAAATCTATAATTCCAAGAGCACCAAAGTCGTTCTACGACGTACAAAGGCTTGAAGGCTTGATTTTAAATTTGGCTACTTACCTGATGAGTGCCGCACAATTCTTTGTGCGGTACGAAACTATATAGTAGTAAATGATGCCAAATCTTTAGTCGTTTCATTTTTTTTTCTTATGTATATTTGCTCTAGTGTTTGCTATTGAGCACTCTGATGACAATTTATGTTCAATTTTTGTTCAATTCTCTTTAAGGCTTGAAGTCTATATTTAGAATGTCCAGTGATCCGGACTAGCGATCATTAAAAAGTAGATCAATCAAGATGTGGGCAGTATTTCTGTATTAAAAGGTGAATTGTACCGACTTTAACTTGTAAACACACGAAACAAAACACAACAAAGCAAAGAGATGATTTAAAAGTAAGAAAACAGAAAAAGACTAYTCAAACAACGAAAGATGAAAAAATATAAATAGGAAACACGAAATTATGCGAAACAAAGCAGAACATAGAAAAGCGAACAACAAGGGACAAAAGAAAACAAAAATCAAATGTTAAATAATAACAATAATAATATAATAAAAACCYTCAAATACCGGCCGACAAGTTCATAAGCTTAGTAGCAGACTRAAAGCTTTAATGGTATAATAAGAATTCATATTTTTTTAATCCTGTTKTAAGCCCCGTGTTTTTTGAAATAACAGAAGCAATGAATATTSCTAGAGATTTTCGCGGGCTTTAAACCAAAAAGCGCGGTAGACATTAGTAGTACATCAAAATCTTGCACTTCTAACGCTATTTACTTCGTATCCCTTTGACCTGACAAATATCACTGGTTCTTATAATTCATCTTAATTAACTCCTTGGCTTTAAACTACAGTGACCACGCCTTTCTTTTAAACATTTACACCCAAATGTAATATTCACCATAATATCTAGACGTCGTTGCAGTCAAAACTTCTATATATTGAAAGGATTCAAAAGAGAGCTTTCGCCATTATCTACCCTCATTTAAGTTACGGAGAGTCATTAGCTTTACTGAACACGCTCCCTCTTTTCAACCATCACAGTTCTATTGGCAGCTCATTGTTTGATAAAATCGTTTTAAAATCGTTTTAGTCCTTTTATTCTAATTAGTCTAATTCTTACATTGTATATAGTAGTCTTTTAATCAACTAGTTAATGTATATTATAGTTTTATTATTGTCATTATTATTATTATCACATATTTTTTAGTTAGTATTGTACGCAATTTAGCAATTTTTTTTGCTACCATGTACATAAATAAAGCTTCTATTCTATTCTATATGTTCACGTGCACATCCTAAAATGATCGTACATGTGACGCTGACTCCATACAGTCGGGTAGTATATTGAAAACCAATAGGACATATGGACGAAGCCCCCGAGGTCATGTAGGATAGTATTACTAGTCTATATAAAGAACATTGGTTTTCGTGATAGCAATACAAGAGACAAAAAGATAGTAGAGAACACTTGAAAGATTTACTCATGGTTATTGTCAAACGCGGCTCTTTTCAGCAGCGTGGAGGCTTATAGATTTTAGATGGCTTGGKAGAAGCTTAGGATATTTGCCCTTTAAGAAAGGTACTAGGATATTCCGCGATGTATAGGTCAAATAATATAATCATACTTAGCTTTTAACTTAGACGTCATACAATTTTAGGAAAAATTGAGCTTTCAGAGTTAGCAAGCAGGAGTTTTAGTAGCTAGATATAAGTGTAGCTTAGGTTTAAGGCCTTTAAAACACGCATTTGTATCTATTTCCTAAATGTAGTAAGCGCGCTGTTAGGATTTGTTTACGATAAAAATCTTATCTGTTTTSTCGTTTATTTTCAGATCTGAGGGCTGTCTGAAAGCCTAGCRATGTCGATTCTTATGGTAGGATTGGTTTTTTACCTTGGGCTCGYAGCAAAGGAGGCTTGGAGYTGCCCTAGACAGTGTAAATGTGGAAAGACGTATCAGTGTTCGCTACAGGATCTCRCAACTCTRCGCACGTTTGTACCTTTCAACGTAACACGATTGTAAGTGCTATTTTCTTTTAGTCATGCAGAACTTTCATTTGTGTTCTAACMGGCGCGCAAAACACCAAGATTTTATAATTTATTATTACCTATAACCTGTTTTAAGCTCATAAAATTATCAGATAGAATTATAGGGAATTTTGATAATTTTTCAGTTGCATTACATACAGCGTGAATCTTTTGTGTTCGCTACATGATCACTTTGAAACCTTTTATAATTATTGGCTACAACTTGAAAAAAAAAAGTAATTTCCCAATTTTCTTAATGTATTCAACAATAACATTTTTTTTACTATTTTGAAATTATATTATGAGATACAAAATCAAAATTTTTATTTTTTGCTCTAACCGACCCAGTCAACAGAATGTTTGTGCGTGAGAGTATTTTTAGAATGTCAAAAAAAGATAAGAATTTGGTTATATATCTAGTGCCTTGACTGCTGTAACTATTCTTAAGTGATGACACATATATAAAATATATGTTATAAAATGTACCATTCAAACAGTCTCAGTACAGCTTCATCACTGAAAAAAAACGACGTTTTCCGACCAAAAATCGCAGGTAATCGGTTTTCTTTTTGAAAAATAACAACAAACATTTCTTATATACTTTAATAAATTTCCGAAAAAAAATATTAATAATAATTCGAATGCGAAGAATATTCACTTAATGTTCACAAATGATTAGCTGCCGCTGTAATACACATGGAAAATCACATAGATGAAGAGTTCAAACATTAAAACGTTCGTCTGATTAGACTAGACCATTTAAATGCAAACCCGAAAGGTTACCCCTAGTCTAAAAGTACTCCTTGTTCTTGCCCATATCCTGTGGAATAGTTGTCTACGGGTTCCGTCGTGTGAGGGCCGGATTTTTTTCCCATAAACATACCCAGAGACTTAACTCGAGCTTACAATAACAAAACTCTTTCTTTGCAAACACCTTTGTCTCTAGTTTGTTTTTGTTTCGTACAAAATGTTTCCCCAGCCAACAATGCTTTGGTCTCGATAGAATTTTCCTGAAGTACACAACTCCAGTATAAAAAGCCACACTTGCGAATTTCGAACTCGAAAAAAAAAACCCTCAAAGTTAAGATCAGATGGCTTTCCGTGATTTTAAGTAAGAAGAAAACAGATACGTCCAATGCGTTGTTATGGAAATTTCTTTGTAGCCCGRAGGCTCTTTTGGTTTCAAAGGAATTCCAATGATCAAGGGACGGTGTCCTGTGCTCCCTAGCCGRCCAGTCTGAGCTCGTGCAAAGATACAAAAAGCTTTTTTTCAAAACAATGTATCCACATCACGCGAGTTAACGTGCTCGCTCTTATCRCAGACAGATGACTTAATTGTTTATGTAAGGTAATTTTATGGGAGGAAATTGCGGACGGAAATCAGTGAATTGTAATCGGACTAATTTCAGAGTCGTCTGGACTGACGACACCAAACCCGTGAAACGGACATCTCTATGAAACAATGAAACAATAAACAATAAAACTGAAACTTTGAAAGAGTACAAAAAACGAATAGAAAATGGCAAACAGTTAGCTCATCGGGATCTTAAATATAAAAGTCACGACTTTTCTACATTATTCCGGAAGGCTAGTACAACAACGGCCTCTAACTAAAGCCACCGCCATCTTGAATTCATTACCTAATGACCGCCATCTTGAATTACATCGGAGTTAAAGGAAAACAACATATTYTTATCAGGTGTTTGAACACTAGAAACATAAATAAATTTAGTAATCAATAGKCMTTTTGCATGAAACGGTCACATGGTRCAAAATCCGCCATACTGAATTGCAAAATACCCACTGGGATGTTCAAAACAAAGAAAAGTCAAGTTTGACGGGCTGCGTTCCTATTGTTTTTGGCGTTGTTACATTCTTTTGCCATCCAGTATGGCGGATTTAGTACCATGTGACCGTTTCATGCAAAAGACCTATTAGTGCTTTATTGTAGAGTGAAGTCATTAAACCCGTGAAACAAAATATGACAATTAAAGTGTGATAAGAGAGTGAATGGTCTGCGCCCAAGGGTAAGCGATGTAGGTGTGATATGATCGTCCGGGTGTGAGAAGTCACTGGAAAAAAATGCGCACTTTAAAGGTTGTAAATTTGATGTCAATATGATGTAAGTGTCCAAAATGATATAAATTTRATGTAAATCATTTACAACATTTTAAAGTGTTTGATTTTTTCCAGTGAGTCTTGAGAGAGACTGTTATAGTTACTTGACGTCAACTGCAGCTTTCATTTATATCATGAAATATAAAATATTTCCAAAGCTGCAAAGTCTCATAGTTTTTCACATAAAACAAAACAATTCAAAATGGCCGCCGTACTGTTAGCGAGATTAAAGATGGCGGACGAAATGTTTATAAGGTTTATTCATTCAAAATAGCGGTCGTATCAGTAGTTAGGTTTATTCAAGATGGAGGTCGTACTAGTAATAAAGTATATTCAAAATGGCGGTCGTATTAGTAATAAGT